CTTGCCTGAAATCAAGATAGACGACATCCACTGTTCTGCCATCATCTATCCACCTGGTTATCTCCTCATAAAAGGCAATCAGGTTGGTTAAACATGACTTTCCCTTGGTAAAACCATGTTGACTGCTCCTAATAACCCTCTTATCGTTGATATACCTAGAGATTGCACTGAGGATAAGTTGTTCCATCGTCTTCCCAGGGATGGAGGTGAGGCTGACCAGCCTGTAGTTACCTGTGTCCTCCTTCTTGCCCTTTTTGAAGACTGGAGTGGCATTTGCTTTCCTCTAGTCCTCAGGCACCTCTCCCATCCTCCATGACCTTTCAAAGATGATGGAGAGCTGCTCTGCAATAACATCCACCAGCTCCCTTAGCACTCAAAGGCGCATCCCATCGGGGCCCATAGATCTGTGGGTGTCGAGTTTGGCTAAATGGTCCCTAACCTGATCCTCCTCAACCAAGGGAAAGTCATCTTCTCTCCAGATCTCCTCTCTTTCCTCCAGGGCCTGGGATTCCTGAGGGCGTGTACTAAAGACTGAAGAAAAGAAGGCATTCAATAACTCCGCCTTCTCTGCATCCTCTGTCACCAGGGCATCCACCTCATTCAGCAGCAACCCCACATTTTCCCTAGTCCCACCAGTCCCTCTCTGTTAGTGAATAACAGGTTCAGTGGGGCACCTTCCCTGGTGAGTTCCCTCACCAGCTGTGTTAGGTAGTTGCCATCCACACAATCCAGGAACCCCTGAAATTGCCTCCTCTCTGCTGTGTTGTATTTCCAACAGACATCTGGCAAGTTGAAGTCCCCCACAAGAACGAGGGCCCATGATCGCAAGACATCATATAACTCTAAAAATCCTTTGTATTCCAGTGGAATTACCCTGAGAATAAATCAAGGCCACAATGAGACTAACATTTAAATGTATCTGATGCCGACATAAAAGCTAATGCCAACAGCAGATCCAATTTTGTGGGCAACAACTACCCAATAACTTGAGAACATTTTCATTTACAATTGCAATTCCATCACCAATAGCAATTACATATTACACATAAAACAGTCTCTTCTTAAAGGTAGTCTTCAGGGGTTTTATCTGTATTGCAGTTCTCTTCTACTACTGCATAAGTAGTAAGAATAGCAAGTTTGAGTCTATAAAGTGCACCTCGAGCACGGTAAATTATTTAGTCAAATCTTTGCTTAACCACCACAACACGTGCACACATACAGTCACTGTCAAGTGACACATGCACAGCATGAGCAATCCTACTCCTGTCCAGCAGGATGACACATGTTCCTCTGATTCAGCACATCACAATTCACTCCTGCGACTCCTCTTTCACTGCTCTAGGCTTAGTCAACACTCGCTTCGGAAAACAGCCCTCAGTTTTGCAGCTGCCAGTCTTCACAGCCAGCACAGCCCAGCCTATGAATGTGTTGTGAGCTGCAACTGTTTTGAAGCACACCATCGTGATGTGTCAAGATTTGCCTCTACACCACCTGTGTCTGGTACAGCCATGGTTAAAGCAGCATAGGCAGACAGGAAAGCAAAAGCTCTTTTTGGGTCTTAAAAGTCACCAACTAAATAATGATCTTGCAGCTTTCACACTTCAGCATAACAGCTTGTTGTGTCTAGGCTTTGACTCCTGGAAGGGTGAAGAATAGTTTTATATGTGCAAAACAAAGTAAAAATAATACCAGCAAGCTTTCAAAAACCATAGATGTGGATGCAGATGGGAGGAGTTGCTGCTTTCATACTGAAGGAAAAAACCATCAACTAATAATCTTCATTCATTTCCTACTCTTCAAATATTTAATTGTTTGGAAGGCAGCATCCTCCATCTAACATACAGTGTTCAAGCACTGCACAAATATGCACAAATACAATGTTTATTTTGATGAGTTATTCTTTAAGCTGTAAACATTTATATTTTCCACAACATACAAATCCTACACTAGCAGCAGAAGATTGATTTGACAATTAAAGAGAAAAAACTAGGGCAGTCTAGAGGACAGCCCATCAGAACTTCATTAATAGCATCTTGGATTATGGAGAACATTATTGTAAGCTATAAAATCCTCAATGCCTAAGCTCGAGTGACTTCAAAGAAGTCGTCTCTCTGTATAAATAAGTAACTGGAAGCTATGTTAAAGATGCTGACATTTGACAACCTTTTCCTCTCCTGCCCCCACAATGCTTGGAGACCCTCAGATAGAACACAATGCTCTTAAAGTAGCCGTCAGAATTCATAGTGAGAGGAAGGGGGCATTAAGACGGGTAGCTAAGAAGTGAATAAAATGCTCATATTCTCTCAATTCCAGTTCACTAGTTCAAATTTTGACCTTTTCTCAATAAGGACAAAAAGTTCAATTAACAACCTGACCACATATAGGTAGATCTGATGAAGTAACAGATACAAACAGCAACTAATAGAACATTCACATTCAAAGAAGGCATTATGGCAACAGGAAATCCACTCTTTGCTCTTATTTCAGATTCAGTGACAGACAATTTTCTCCCAAGGTTCAAAAAAATTTCTCTTACGTGTGCTTACCATAAGCAAAAAGTACCTGCTCAGTGTGCCCAAAGTCACATTTATAAACTTTAGAAGACCTTTACTCCTCTAAAATAAACCAATTCTGTTTCCTACCCAACCCAATAAAACCCTTATCTACAATTAACTCATGCTTTCCCTAAGTACTATCTTCTTCATAACTAATCAACCCTCAAATGAGAATGAGCTGCACAAGGCTGCTGGGCATTAACTGACTTCGAACACGTTATTCTAATTTGTCAGCACCCATAGCTTCTCAGTGGAAAAGTTTCTTACTCTCATCATCTTAACGCTACAGAGTGCTCCAATACATGTATATCAGAAAGCTTATCTCCTAAAAACTACTTACTCCCCTCAAAAGGAGTCCAAACCTCTCTCTCCTTGCAGAAGGACAAGAATAGCTGCAATATTTTTTTTTTGGTCTCTCCTAATTCCTGTCCTTCAGCCAATTATTAAAGTTATTTCCCTTTCTTCTCTCTTGCTTTCAAAACAGCAAATGCTTCAGCCACTATCTTCCTTCTCTTCCCATAACATAACCCAGGAAGCCTAAACAACTTGTTTGCTTTCTTCTCTCAACGTAGGGATGAGTCCTACTCCCCTCATTCCCACAGCAAAATTGCTGGAGAAAGTGGCAACAGACATTCAACAAGCAGCTCAGAAACCTGGATGTGGTCCACTACATACACACACATCACTAGGATGCAGGTAGGTTACAAGCAAGATATATACGCTGCAATATTCTTGCTGCTTTACAGGCAAGCCAGAGTCAAGACACTTTAAAACACTATTGAGAACTAAATTAAAATGTTAGATTTCCTTTATTTTTACCTGCAGTCATCAAAAGTTGATCCAGGAGATGAAAGTGCAAGTTGTTTGCGCAGCTCATCCCTCTCTCTCGTTACCTGACGGAGCTGATACAATATTGTCTCCAGCTTCTCACTCATCTGTCTCGTGTCTATTACAGGTGGTGGAGATGATGCTTTACCAGTCGTACCTGACCAAGAGATAAATAATTGGCAGTCAGAGAACTCCTCAAAAGAACAATACAACTTCACTAAAAAAGTTAACACAAATTTAAAAGCTCCTATATTTTTGGTTGCAGAATTCTGTTCAAAACTGAAACAAGTCATGAAAGTTTCCATCAGTGAGTTGACTCAAGAATAACTCCAGTGAGACCTCACACTAGCAGACGGGTCCTAGCTGTGCTGCAAGTAAAGTTGAACTACTTAAGTTGCACACTACCATGAGCAGGTTCCTTGCTTACTCATGAACTTACAAGTTGCCTAAAAGGCAAGGCAAGGCAAGTTTGCAGTCAGAATTGCAAAGCCCTCAGAAACTACCATAGTGACTGAAGTTATAGGTACAAAGCTATTTCCAATTAAGAATCATGTTATTGCTTCTAAAAAAAAAAAAAAAAAAAAAAAAGTAAATTCCACTCACATCAACTTACCCCAGTGACAGCAGAAAAACAGCTGCTGCACAGGGGCTCTTTTCCTCTTCCTTTATCTGGCAGCACTATTCTGCTACGTGCTACTGCCACAGTTTATTTTAATGCAATTCTATGCTTTCACATGTCACAATTTATCAGTTCAGTACGTGAAGTTAAAGATATGACTTGCCAACACACAATGAGAAACGAGCTTCATTTTTAACAACATTGGCTAAAACAAACACATTACAATGACTGCAACTGGACTACACATCAAATTTCCTCTAAGGGGCAGTCATACATTAAAGAGTTTTGTGGGATTTTTTTTAATTCTCAGCTTTCTTAGTATCAGAGATGATATTAATGCCTATTGTCTTCTCAAACAGCTATACCAATACAAAGGGGTCTTTTTCCACCTGAGGATGAGAGTCTGGTATATTATGTTTCACAACATGCTGACAATTAAGTCAACTGTATTTTAGTTCTGCTCATTTTATCCCAGACACATGAGAGCAAACTCAAAGATATTGGTCATAGATTTTCAAGTTAAAGGTCTAAAAGTATACAGGAGATGACTATTTTCTACCTATAAGATAAATTCTAGAAATAGTTTGCATAATTATACAACTGAAACAAGTTGCTGACATACGTACTAACTTGTTAGGATGTACTTCTATTACATCTTTTTTTAAAAATGAAGTAATAAAAGATACAATAGTAAAATAATGCTCCCTGATCACTGTCTTTTCAAAGAAAGAATTTCAAACTAAGTTATTTCATCTGTTCAAACGCTAATGAGTTACAAGGATTGGCCTTTTATCTCTAAACCCAGTTCAGGAAGGTATTGCAGGACACAAAAAACTCCCTCCAACTTTTAAGCAGAACTACCCATATCCCCACACCAAATAACTGCAGGGTCAGGGCTATCATATATACAGCAGCTAGAATAATAGGATCCCTGTTCTTATTTCTTTCAGCTGTTACTGTAATTCTGTAATGAGAATTTATGAGCACAGACTGTTCTTTTAACCTAAATAATGCATAATAATGTATGTAAAATTCTAATAATGAACTGAAGATATAAAAAATTGCAGGAATAGCCTGCATTCTGTAGAAAGGCACAAACACAACATTCAAAAGAATTCTCAATGGAGGCTGCATTTGGGTTTTCTCCTACTACTTTGTTTCACTCCCCCATCCAGATGGAGCCCCTTCATCCATAAGGGCTAAGGATCTCACACTTTGTTTTTCTAAAATAAGAACCATTCTACATAATTTTTAAGGCAAGATTATATAGAAACCAGTAACAATACAAATGCACCATCATAATATAGGGAATAAATAGGGGAAAAAAACCCAAATGCACAGATAAAAAAAGTCAGAATGTATATTCATTTGGAATAGCTTGGACACACCAATGAGCAGGGAATTTCATAAACTAGTGAAAAGGTCAAGATAGACAAACCTAATTCAGGTACTGAGAGGTTGCATGGTCTTGGTTAAATTCAGGGGTAATATGCACATCCCCTTACTTGAGCTGACACATCAGAGTATGTGGAACATTGATAAAGTCCCCTTCTCATCCTTATAGAGAAGTTCTAAAGCTTATTGTCATCCTGGGGCTGCTTGGGAGCAAAAGAGATGAGCAGGATGTGAGGGGCACAAGAAGAAGGGGAGATAAATCAGGAGGGCTGATGTGCTTTACATGGAGGAAAGGGCACTGGATTAACAATAGCCCATCACTAATATCAGTGTCCAGTTCTGGGCTCCTCAGTTCAAG